TTTTATTTTTATTTTATTTTATTTTTAATATTTCTGCTTTTGAATTACAGCTATGGCAAGCCTTTGTTGGTGTTAGAGCACGCAGAGTGGAGAATTACTATAAGAATTTGCTTTCTCCGGATAATAATGTAGAAAAGAGAAATACAGAGTCAGGGGACAAAAATCACGAACCGAATGTGGGGATACCTGAAAAATGGAAAACTCAGATTGAGAAGGTTATTTGATTGTTAATTTTACACAATGAAGTCACTTGGATTGCACTTGGATTGTGAGACGTGACAGTCAAAAGATTTCAAGTCTGTGTTCTTGATATCTTGATTTGAATTTCTTCATTGTATTTATTTACCGATTATCATTATTTATGTTTTTTGGGTGTAATGTGGATTATGAATATTTTAAATCCATTACAAGTTCTTATTATTCTGAATGTAGCCTCTGTGCTTATAATTTTATTGTTATTGCTATATATCTCTCCCATTAGATATTTAAACTTTCTTGTTGGGTAACACAGGATTTGCCTCGAACTTTTCCTGGTCATCCTGCTTTAGATGAGGATGGTAGGAATGCTTTAAGACGGTTACTTACTGCATATGCTCGGCATAATCCGTCTGTTGGATATTGCCAGGTATTTCTACTTACATGATAATACATTTATGCTATACTGGATTCTATCTTGAGATATGATTGTTTATAGCCCACTGCACCTGATTTTGATTTTTCATCATGAGTTGTTTTTGTAGTGAAAATATTATCTTAATCTTCTCAAAATGCATGCAATATCTTGAAAAACTATGCACTTTCATTTAAAAATGTCATATTTGCAAAACTACATAACAAAAGCATGACTTCTTATAGATATGCATTTTTGTTAAAATATTATGAAGGGTCGATTAACGGTTAGCTGCCTCACGCAAGAATTTGTGCTTGGATAAACAGCTCTTTATTGCTAAATATTTTGTTTCACATTTGTTTGTGTTAGTCTGTTAGATATGAAAATTTGATATGTTTCTTAAATATTTGTGCAGGCAATGAACTTCTTTGCAGGCTTGTTATTGCTACTGATGCCAGAGGAAAATGCATTTTGGTCGGTTGAATTCTTTGTTTTTGTTTTTTTGTTTTTTTTTTTTNTGATACTATGCACCATAACCTCAAGTTCCTGAGATGTTTGTCGATGGCAGAAAAGGGAAAATAAAGTTATGTAATTGTTTACATATTTGATGGGTCCTTAAAGTTATTAGACTCGACAGAATCTGACGGATTCCTTGACTTACAGGACTCTTATAGGCATTCTAGATGACTATTTTGACGGATATTATACCGAAGAAATGATAGAATCTCAGGTAAAGTTGGATTTCATTTACGAGCTGTTATTTCACATGCCTTTGATCAAATGGTGTAACATAATTTAAATTTGTTTTATGTGTCGCTCTGTCTTGGCAGGTTGATCAGCTTGTTCTTGAGGAGTTGGTTTGCGAAAGATTCCCCAAACTGGGTTAGTTTCTATAGCTTTTTTTTTTAAAAATCATAAATCCTTTTCCAAGGAGATGTTATTATATTATTAATTATTATTTCTGTTCCTAACTTAGTTTTATTTGTGCTACAGTCAATCATCTTGATTACCTAGGAGTGCAGGTAGCATGGGTGACTGGGCCATGGCTTCTCACAATTTTTGTGAATATGCTTCCATGGGAAAGCGGTAAGTTGTTTTATGTTCAAGTCTTGCAACACTTAATTTGAATATCGTCAAGATTTTGACATGGTGTTTACAAGAGTGTAATTCATAATTTCATATTTATTTGGTCATCTCCTTTATTCTCCTTTGTAACCTCTGGTTCATATATCATATTGGGGCTAATTATAGATAATATTTTTCTGGCTAATTTAATACAGAGCCCAAGTGGTATTTCCAATATCTTAAGGGTGTGATTGGATATGAGATTTGATTGATTTTTTTGTTGACCATAGTTTATTTTTTTTTAAAAAAAAAAGTGGTTTGGTTAGTTGTTAGCAGGATTTTGAGTTTATATTAAAATAATATTTAAAATAAAATAGTTAAAATTGATTTGATGTAAAAGTAGGAGAGAGAGATGATGTAAAGTGATGACTAGTTAAAATTATGTGATGTAAGAATGATTAAATGGTATTATTTAATTATATTGATAATATGGAGGATAGTGGGGTTAAGTTAAAAGTTGAGTTAAAAAAAGTGACTGAGTTAAAAATGATTGATTTATTTATTTATTTTATCCCAATTATATCCACATCCAGTCACACCCTTAAGCTGGTATATTTAACTCTGAAGGTTTTTTTTCATCATTTATTATTTATTTATGTTTTATGCTAAACCAGGATGCCTTTTTTGTAATCTGCCTTACTGTTAGTTAACCCCCTAAACCCATCAAGTTTAATCTGCCCTTTTCAGTTCTTAGAGTCTGGGACGTGCTTCTCTTCGAAGGGAATCGTGTAATGCTTTTCCGAACTACACTTGCTTTAATGGAACTATATGGTACAGCTTCAGCCATAAAAGCTTAAATTTTTTTGACGAGTTTTTATTTGGCTATTTCACCAAATGAGGCTTATCTTTGCTCAGCTCTTGTGTAGGACCCGCATTAGTTACGACCAAAGATGCTGGAGATGCAGTCGCGCTGCTTCAATCCTTAGCCGGCTCGACTTTCGACAGCAGTCAACTTGTCTTGACGGCTTGTATGGCTTTCCAGAATGTTCAAGAAAGTCGATTAAGTGAACTTAGAGATAAACACCGGCCAGCTGTCCTGGATTGTTTGAAGGAAAGAGCAAAGGGAGTGGCGAAGGATTCACAAGGCCTGGCTTCTAAATTGTATAGTTTTAGTAAGGACCCAGGTTCAGTAGTGATGGGGACTGATAAATCGGGCATAATGAGCATGCCTTTGAATGGTCATGTGGAGATCGATTCTGCCATAGATCTTGAAGAGCAGGTATATGTTGGATATAAAATATTTTGATTTTGTTTAGAATTTTTTTGTTTGGTATGGTTAATTTTGAAAAAAAAGTGGTATGGTTAGTTAGTTATTTACTGGAATTTTGAGTTTATATTAAAACAATATTTAAAATAAAATAATTAAAATTGATTTGATGTAAAAGTAAGAGAGAGATTATGTGAAATGACGGTTAGTTAAAATAATGTGATTTGATGAATAGTGAATTAAAGTTGATGTGATGTGTAAGAATGATTGAGTGCTATTGATTCAACTTCTTTTGGTCATGTCCGAAATCTAAATGGTTTTTTTTTTAAAGTAGAGAAAGTTTCTCGAGCCTTAGTGGGACTTTTGTTCGATTCCGAAGGCTTCATTAATCTAATGAGATGGAAAAACCCGATTTTCCGGGCTTAAATTACTTTTTCCTTCTACCGATCCCATTATTTAATATGAATAGTTAGAATATGCATATTAGGCCAGCCTATGTTGCTTGATATCTTCTTGTTATTTGAAAGCAAAGTTATATTTGTCCAACTAACTTTGTGTAAGGCATTTATTGTCTTCAGGTAGTTTGGCTGAAGGTCGTGCTATGCAAGCTCCTTGAGGAGAAAAGATCTGTTGAGCTTAGGTGAACATATTTGGGGTTTGATCGAGTTTCTTAAATCTCTAGCTGAATTTTCACCGTGTGAATTTTTGTGTTTACCTTCTGTTAGTACATTCAAATATTCCCTTGTTTATTGAGGATATATCTAAATACGTTTCGGATTATTTTCCAGTTTCTCTCTATTTAGTACTACTTCCTTTTTTTTTTAAATGTCATTTTGGCTTTATCAACAATTAACCAAATAAATGACGTTTTGGATCTTTTGTACATATTTTTCCATTATTACCCTCATCTAGCTAATAAATACACTATATTTTTTCATATTCACTCTTCATTTTTTTCTCAAAACATCCATCTCTATCCTAGGGTAGGGTTATTATTGGCAAAAAAAAGATTCTTAATTACTGTGTAACTTCTCAAAACCACACTTATTAAAGAAAAGGAGGGAGTATTTTGTTACTGTCCTTTATATTTTTTTCTTTCTAGGGCAGAAGAGCTCGAAACAGCACTAATGGAGATGGTTAAACAGGATAATCGACGACAATTGCATGCAAGGGTACTTTAAAAAAAAAATTACGTACTCGGATTTTTTATTATAATAACTTAGTTACTTGTGCTTGTCTTGTGAATACAATAAAAAATGTGTCGCATTTTGGAAAAAAAAAAATAGACATCTATTGCTTATAATTTATGAGTTTTTCTTTTGAATAATGAATTTTCTCTTCGAAGTTTGGTGATGATCTTATTTTTTCGTTAAACAACTGCTAAAATTTAAATTTTTATGATTCACCTACCAACTGGTTAAGCATTATTACACTGTTTGCTTTAGGTCGAGCAATTAGAGCAACAGGTGAGTGAGCTTAAACAAGCCCTTGCTGATAAGCGAGAGCAGGAAAGTGCCATGCTTCAGGTAATTTCTCATATTAGCTGCCTTTTATGTCTATTATTATTGGGAAAAATTCTAAATACAGCCCTGAATTTTGTTAGTTCTACAAATACCACCTTCAGTTTGTGTATTTGTAAACTAGAAGCATGTGGCCAAGCGGGTGCTTGCATTTTCAAGAGATAACTGTCATTTTTTTATGGCAAAATTGCATATAAAGGCACCACCTTTAAGGCTTTTGCAATTTAATCTTTTTGCTATTTGCTATTTGCGTTTAAATAACCACATTTCATATGTTTTGCAGATCAAAGCGTAATGATAACTTTATGCTTTGATCTGCAAAACCTATTAAAGAAGTTGATTTAAATGCAAATAGCAAAAAGGTGGTGATTAAATTGCAAAAGCCTTAAAGGTGGTGCCTTTATATGCAATTTTGCCTTTTTCTTATTCATTTTAATTGGACCAGATTACTAATCTTCCCTAGTTATTTGTTGATTAAATTTTAATATTTGTTACCAACTTATACAGATTTTAATGAGGGTCGAACAAGAGCAGAAAGTTACAGAGGATGCTCGGATATTTGCTGAGCAAGATGCTGCTTCCCAGAGATATGCTGCTCAAATGCTTCAAGTCTCTCTCTCTCTCTCTCTCTCATTGCTTTAGCAAAAAGAAATCTTATGTAATATTGCAATTAATATATAATATTATATTATCATACTCAGGAAAAGTATGAAGAAGCAAGTGCAGCTGTGGCCGAGATGGAAAAGAGGGCATTAATGGCCGAGTCCATGCTGGAAGCCACCTTGCAGTACCAGTCGACTCAGCCTTCTCCTCGGTAAAATTGCAAATCTTTTTTTATTATATAATTATCATAGTCAAAATTTACATTAACTACACAAAGTTTCCTTGAGGTTTTGCTAATTATAAAAAACAGCATGCTCTCTTTGGAACTATCACAGTACCCCTTGAAAAGAACATTGTTTCAGTCTCTTCTCAACTGAATATTACTTCGAAAAGGGTAGGCTTGTAATTTTGTTTTACATTCCTTGTTTTCTATGAAGATCCATTCAGCAAAGTAATCAAGAACCTTCACAAGAAACGCAAATAAGAAAGATAAGTTTACTCTCGAGACCATTCGGACTAGGGTGGCGTGACAGGAACAAGGTTAGTTGATGCAGATAAAAAATAAATGAAAAAAAATCCAATTATATTCCAAATTTACAATTTCTACCTTGTTTTTCCTATTATCCCCTTATTAGCAGGTGAACAGTGTAAATTGTAAAGCATGGGACTTTTAATTATATTATTATCCCCTTAGCAGGTGAACAGTGAAAATTTAAGCTTGAAGCTGGAAGAGGCCAATGGCAACGGGGTACAGGAGAAGGTATAGTTAGAAAAGGGAAAAGGGACTAATGTTTTTGGTTTTTTTTTTAGAATTAAATATAAGTGCAGAATTTTAAATTTATATACAAATCTTGATAAAGTATTAAAGAAACTTGTTATTATCTTGTATTTAGACAATATTTTTCGGTATGAAATATGTATGATTTGATATTTTTGTGAAAACATTATTTAGAATAACATTTTTGTGAAAACATTATTTAGAATAACATTTTTGTGAAAATGTTATTTACATGGTTATTCTACCCATCGGACCACAAATACCAATATTAGCATCTAGCATCTATTTATTATATACTAGTACAGAGCCCGTGCGATGCACGGGACGATAATGATCCATCATAAAAATTATAGAAGAATATTGATTAACATAGAAATAATTTAATAATAATTTCTTTATTTTTAATGATATGTAATAATTTAAAATTTAAAAAGTCCATATAAGTATTGTTCAAAGTTTTTATGCAGATAAATAGAAAAATTTTAACATTTTCACATCTAATAAATGCATAAAATTCCTATTAAATCTCGTTGTTCATACTAATACCTTATTAGTATTAGATAAGTAAACTTAAAGTTAGAAAATTGTGGTTAGATTTAAAATAATATTTATTTTGTAAATAAATTAAGTCTCTAAAATAATTTAATATAAAGCGGGTGTAATATTATTTATTTCAAAGGTATAAAACTTAATGATTTTCAATTTAAGACACTTGATAAATTATTCATTAGTTTAATTTTTTCAATTTATAGTAATATATGTTAATTATGCTTGAAATAAATATTTACTTAAATTTTATATATTTTAGCATAAATTTTTTTCGAACATGTGTAGTCAAATATAATTTATTGCAGAAATGAAGGGCGAAACATTCATATCAAAATATTCATAACTCTGCACCCACACATAATATACTCCCTTGATTTTATTCAATTCTCACATTACAAAACAAAATTTGTTTCACAAAGAAACCAAAGACAATTACTTGATATTTTTCCCAATTTTACAACTAAAAATTTATTTTGTATGCATGCTAATAATAATGCACACACCTTACACATTCACAAGAGGTGTGAAGTAGTCTTGTTAATGCAACTACACAATAAATTATGTTGTTATAATATATGTGCAAAAAGATTTTACTGGCAAATAAAACGAAATCTTAATCGAAAAAGGATGAGAACAGCCAAGCTTCAGGAATACAAAAAAACCACAT